TACGGACCGGGCTAAAAACAAAAGCGTGCATTTTTAAGCAGCCTCAATGTCTCGCGCCAGCTGGTCAAAGCTGGGCGGGGTACCTGGCGGTGCACGGCCTCCGTCAGCCGGCTCACGTCGTCCAGGTGCCGCTGCCCCTCCTGCGCCTGCCTGCGCTCGCCTAGCCAGTTGTTGAAGGCCCGCGCCTCCTCCAGTTCTCGGTAGCGCTTCAGCACTGGGGTACGTCCTGCGGAACCACCGGAGAATGCGCGGCTCGTTGCGGGGCTCAATGGACATCATGCTTTTATACCAGTGGTCAGCCGGTCATAAGCGGACTGCGCTCTCCAGCATGCGCAGCGCGCGCTGCTGCTGGAGGCCGTAGACGTCCACCGTTCCTGCCGTCTGGAAGTGTGCCCAGCTTCGCCACCCCGTTCGGAGGCACTGTGAAGTACATCTTGGCCGTGCTCCAGGCACCCTGGTCGCCCACGAAGCTGCCGTACAGGGGGTCGTAGACGTTGTCTGCCTCGGACATGTACACCACGAAGTTGGAGGCCGTGCGGAGCCGGTACCGGCAGGCGAAGAGGAGCTCTCGGCCCGGGGTCAAGTTGTAGGTTCGCACGATGTTCCACGGGTTCACCGCCAGGGTCAGGGTGTAGCCGTCCACGCTCACTGCGCCCGCGGTGTGCGTGGCCAGGACCACGCTGCAGCCGCTGCTGGGGCGAACCGTCCAGTTTGACAGTGAGACGTCCGTGGGGCCCAGGATCTGCTCTCCTATGGCGGCCACCACCTCGTCGGCCCCTCCGTCGTCCGGAAAGCGCACGGCTATTTGCAGGGCCGAGGCCGCCTCCGTGACGCCGAGCTTGCCGGCAAGGAGACCGTCCACTTGTGCGATGGTGTAGTAGCTGAGCAGCGCGGCTGCGATGCTTGAGGCCGTTGCCGTGTCCTGGTCTGCGGCCGAGCGGTACGCCACCAGCGCCGAGGTGATTTGGTTGGTTGTGAACACGTCCTGATCCGGGCCCGTCCGGTAGGCCAGCAGCGCGCCCGCGATGGCGGCCTGCGTCTGCGTGTCCTGCGCGCTTGCCGTGCGGTAGTCTCCCAACAGCGCGTCCGCTTGCGTCGAGGTGTAGTAGGCCAGCAGCGCGGTCGAGATGGCGCTGGTCGTCTCCGCGTCCTGCGCCGCGCCCGTTCGGTAGTCGGCCAACAGCGCGTCCAGTTGCGCCGAGGTGTAGTAGGCCAGCAGCGCAGCCGCAAGGGCCGCGTCCGCCGCTGCGATGGAGTAGCAGTCTAGCGGCGTGACCCTCGCCGCTATGTCTAGGGAGTGCTGGTCCACCACCGTCTTGCGGCCGTAGTTGGCCGCCACCGTGGCCAGCGCGGCGTTGTTGGCAGAGGCGATGGAGCCGTTCATGGCCCCCGTAGTTGGACGGGGTGCTCTTCGTGGCCACCACGCCCTCCAGCACAGAGACCCGTGGTCAGCAAGCTCTGCAGCGCTGCGATGCTGCTTCCGTGCGCGGCCACCTGTCCGTCCGTGGTGGCCAGGGCCGCCGCCGTGGCGAGGGGCGCGATTGCCGGCGCCAGCGCGCTGCCGTCCAGCTTTGAGGCCAGCTCGGCGGTGACTCGGTCGTCCAGGGACTGATGGCAGCCGCGTTGTTGCCGGAGGCTGCCGTGTTCACTGCCAGGTCAGCTACTTGGGCGTAGGGCGTCAGAGCGAGGGCCAGCTGCCCTGCTGTGACGTGCGTGCCGTCAGTTACCTCTCCGTTGTCCAGGACCTCCGGGATGTTGCCCGTGACAGGTCCTTCAAACATGTTTTCTTAGGAGTAGGTGTTACACGAATTCGTAACGCAGGGGTGTTGTACTTTCACAATACGCCCTCCCTTGAGTCGCTATGTGTCATTTCGTAGCGCTGGGTGGTATAATTATATATCATCTCGCAACAGCCCCTACCAGTACGCGAAGTGTGGAATGACGCAGTGTCCGATGGCGTCGGACACTGGGCATGAAGCGAGGTCCTTCACTTATGAGGCCTCTGATGAATTGACCGATGGCGTCGGTCAAAACGCTTGGGACACCTCGGCCTCATGATGAGACCGGCGAAGCTATGCGTGCGTAGTAGGACAAAGACCGAAAGCTTGTGTCAGGGGTCATGGGACACCTCCCTTGTCTCAGTGGTTAGAGCGCTGTCTCTGCAGCACCCCTGGTCCGGGGCTCGACTCCCACCTGCGACCGGGCATTCATGAATCAACCTTGCCCATTCATGAGCCATTGATGAATCACCCGGTTCCATTATTGACTCAAACTTGCCAAGAACCGAGTCCTCTCGGGAACCGCTTTTGCGCACTTTTCGGCCCGGCGACGAAGCGGTGACAAAGCGGTGACAAGCGGTGACAACCTCGGCGGGCTGGAATTCACCGGTTTTCAAAGCGGAAAACTGAGCAAAGTGGTTGTCTGGAGCCCGCTTTCGGCCGAAAACAAGCGAACTCGCCGTCCGACACGGAAAAACGGACTCTTCGGACTGTTTTGAGCGCTTTTTGCGCGGTGACTTCAGCGGTGACAAGCTCGGCGGGCTGACGGACCAGCTTGGCGGGCTGTCGGGCTCCGAGCCTGGTCCTCGGCGGGCTGTCGGGCCGCGGAAAACCCTGCGGAGAACGAGGTCCGGAACTGGGGCCGCTTTTGCGCACTTTGCGCCCAAAAAGCGAGCGGTGACAAAGCGGTGACAAGCGGTGACAAGTTCAGCGGGCTGGAATTCGCAGGCTTTTCGGGGCAGAAAATGGAATTCGGAGCATGGCGAACGTGTGGAGCCGGTTTTCGGCGGAAAACGAGCGAACTTGGAGGCTCAGGCGCCACTTTTGACGTCTGACACGAAAAAACGAACTTTTCGGAGTTGACCGTTTTGAGCGCTTTTTGCACCAAAAACGGAGTGGTGACAAAGACCGGTGACATCGGAAAAACGTTCAGCTGGTTGGAGAATTTGGCTGTTTTGCAGGGTTTGGGGACCAAAAAACCAAAATTAATAGGTTACTATAAGCTGCCTTACTACTGCGTGTGCCGAAGACGACTTGGTAGGGGTAGGGGGCTGGGCAATCACATCCTCCCAAGTGGTTTGGTTTGGCGAAACCTGGAACATGCGGGCCGTATGGCCTTGCCTTGTCAAGCCTGGACAGCGGTGCATCGCAACAAATTTTGGCAGACTGCCTTGCGTTGCGTCTCTGAAGCGGCTGTTCACAGCCAGGCCACGCGCTCCCAGCGCTGGTAAAAGGCTAATGCTGCGTGGGGCGGGGTGGGACGCGTGGGACGCGGTCCTAGATCACGGGGGCCCGCCCGAGCCCCCGCCCCGACCCGACGAGAAGAAGCTTATCAGTAAGTGGCGGGCGGAGCTGTCAGACAAGTGTTGAAACATAAAGGCACAAAGCATCAAAAGGGAGGTGGGAGCCTGGGGCCTCTCTGTAGCCTCCGAAGTGCAGCTTTGCGGCACCGAGGCCAGGCGCGCCGTGCTCCAGACGCCCTGCAAGGCTGCTCCTCCTCCTTTTCACTTGCGGCCTGAAGGTCGGTCGGGCCAAGCCTTGCAAGGCTTCGCGCTGCATCAAAGTCCAAGCGAGATACCAAACTGGCCTGCCTGCAAAACAAGCAGCCGAGTTAAGGCATGTTGCACTGCTCCTAGCTTGAACCCAAATGAACCCCCAAAAGAACAAAGCAAGTCCGAAGCGGCCGCAGTTCTTTTTTACCGGGATTGCTGAAAGTAGCACTGCTTCCAGGGCACTGGTGCGCCTGGAACAGGAGGTGCGTTGACCCCTCGTGAAACTAAAACGGGCAAGACAATGCGTGTTCTTGCAAGTGAATGCAGTGCTTGCAGGGCGCGGCATGCGTGCCCGCGCCCAAGGTCCGGAGACTGAATGGTCCGGACCAGAGTTGGTCCGGAGACCTAGTCTGGAGACCAAGAGGTCCGGAGACCACCAACGAAAGTGCAGAGCGTCTGCGACCTATGCTTGCAGAGCCTTGTATAAGGCAGTGCAGGGTGGGTGGGTAGGTTTCAAGTGGCTCCTAGCTTGAACCCAAACATGAACCCCCAAAAGAACAAAGCAAGTCCGAAGCGGCCGCAGTTCTTTTTTACCGGGATTGCTGAAAGTAGCACTGCTTCCAGGGCACTGGTGCGCCTGGAACAGGAGGTGCGTTGACCCCCCCTTCAGTGTTTCAGGCAACCCCGGTATAAGCGAGCCAGCTGGGCCGCCGGCCTCATCACCCGCCCTGGGGTTGACCTGGCAGGGCAAATGTCCGCGTGACAACGCACGCTTGCGGCTGTAAGCAGCCTGTTGCTCAGGGTCTGCACTTTTTTCGGTCAGGGCTTGATGTAAGCGGCTGGCTGACGCTGACAGGGCGAAGACGGCGATTTGGTCGCAATGCATGTTGGGATGCAAATAAGGCTGGCTAAGCAGTGCTGGAGGCAGCTGCCAGGTGTTCTGGGCGCCAGGGCGCTCCATCGGACACAGCTGAATACCTCGGCCTGACATTGCTAGGCCCGCAGGGCTGAAGCGTATGCGACTTTCAGGGCGATGGCTAAATCGGGCCAACCGACCTCTGCTGAGATCGTCTGCCCAAGCATTGCACCTTCCTGGAACGCGTCGGCTGCAGCAGCACATTGTGAGCGTGAGCCCAGAAGGCTGTTAACTGCACGAAAAGTTGCAACGGCCAGGAGGTCGTGAACAACTTAGTTAAGGCTTGGTTGCGTTGCGGAATTGTCCGTGCCTGAAGGCATGCCGAACGTGGGGCCCGGCTGGTGCCCGAAGGTTTCGCTGGCCGCAATGCTGGACCTGGACGTCTGCCGCTGGGACCACATTGTGTTGGGCATACAGCTCGCAATGGGTCTAGTGCCAGTGCTTGAGGAATCGCAGGCCGCTCAAGCGCTTTTCGAATAGCCATGGCGATGATGCGGACCAGGACCAAAAGCCGAGGCTGGCAAGCTTGTGACGCTACCGTGCCCGCGGTAGGCAGCGGCCAGGTATGTGCCTCTGCCTTCTCGGGATTGCATTGGCGCTGCTCGTGCAGCCGAGCACGGCCTGGGTCTTGGGACGCATTTTTTTCGAAGGTTTTCAGGTTTCAGGAGTCCCTTGTCGCCGCCGCCCAGGACTTTGCTCGAGGAGTTCCTGGGCTGAAGGAGCATGAAGTCCCTCCTTTGGATGTTCTTGTTTCGTGCTGAGTGCCAGGACAGCATATTGGCCCAGTTCTCAGAGTTGCCCGCAGGCGCAAGCAGATTGCACTTTGGCTCTTTCAGGCAAAACGGCACCCGTTGCATGCCGGAGTCGCTCGGCGCGCCGGGGCTGCGCAAGAGGACTCCTCCGACCCGAAGCCTGTTCGCATCTTTTGCCGGTTGCCGCCAGGACAACAGTGGCCAGGCCTGGGGGACGCGTGCATCGGGCTTGAACGTTGGGCTTGTCGGTTGTCAGGACCGGCTCGATCTCGAGGAGGCGGCGGGCCTTCAGAGAAAGCGACGTCCCAGCCTTTTCTAGCTCAGGTGATTTCAGAAGCTGAACGGGTGCTGAACACATCGGCGACGAAGAAAGACATGCAAGTGGTCATGCGCCGCTTTAGCAGCACATTGGTTGCCGCAGGCGTGGTGAAATTTTGAGCTCAGGAAAAGTGCAGCTGACAGATCCAGAGAAGTGGAATGATTTGGTGACTAAGCCTGAGTTAAAACAGCAGCTAAAGAAGTTTGTGGCAGAGGCAGGAGTGTTTGCTTGTTTTACCAAAAGGTGAGTTCACATGTCGTGGCATTCTTTGTGACACAGGCCAAAGCAGCCTCAAAGGGCTTGAAAGAGGCCGTGCGTTCGTGCGCGCTGCTTCGGCGTGTGAGTCGAGCTGGGCAGGACCTGCTCCTGCAGCAGCTGAAGCTTGCGCTCGCGCAGCAAGAAGCTGCCCAGGAGCAGGAAGTTAAAGCCGTCGCCAGATTGGAGAAGGCGGAGGAATCAGGCACCAAGGAGGAGGTGGAGAAGGCGAAGAAGGAGGTGGAGAAGGCGGAAAGGAAGGTGGAGAGGGCGAAGAAGGAGGTCAAGGAGGCGAAGGCATGCGGCCGGACGAAGGAGTCCGAGGCGGGCGGAGTCGGTCGCTTCCGCCGGCCGGCTGCGTTCTGGGACTCTGATCGTTGCGTGCGGTTCTGAAATTCCCCGCGCGGCCCACACATGGTTTTGGTGGGGCTGCCCTGATCGCATCCAGAGAACCAGGAAATCCCAAGATAGATTTTTTACAGATTGCGGCGGTTCGTGTCGTTGGCAGGCTCGGTATGGAGCCCCCATGAACGGATGGTTGCCTTTCCTTGTTGGAGGTCGGTCATTCCTGCCGGTCGACATTGATTGAGACGTGCCGTTGATCGTTGTGAGTGATTTTGCGCTTGCCCCCAGCCTGCTTTTGAAAGAGCAAGACCTGCCCTTCTGCCGTCGGGGAGAGGGAAGGCAACTCTGATGTCTTTGCACCCATTGGGGTCGTTGCTGCTGCAGGCGCAAGTTCTGTGAATGTACCCTTTGATACAGTGAGCTCAACCATACATTCCCCGCTTTGCATCCACGGGCAGCGTTTTTGCTCGATGGTTTGGCCCGTTTTGCTGCCATTCCATCCCCTTCTAATGTTCAGTTTTCTCCGTACCTGCTCATATCTGCCTGATTTGGTGTGAGTGGTTAGTGGCGCGCAAAACTATCAAACAGTCGAGGGGGAACCCGCAAGTATTGAAGAGCCTGCTGTTCCAGTCGCGCTTGCGTTTTCTTGCCGCTTATTTGCAGGGCACAAGCCGCTTGCAACGATCCCTCGCCCCCAAGTGCGACGTGAGAGAACAGCTTTGCGACAGCGCAAGGTTGCTGGTGCGAGCTTTCTGCTTCCCTCGATTTTGATGCACATCGCAAGGTCCCCCTTGGTTTGAATTGAAATTTCTCATCGCGAGGCATGCCGCAAATGCTTTCAGTGGGGTTGCCGTAGTCACATCCACAAAGCCAGGAAATCCGAAGATTGGTTTGTGCAGAGCGTAGCACTTTCTGTTTGTTTGGAAGCTGGCTGCATTTTTGGCAAATTTAACGTTCCCGTTTTACCTGGATCTGTTGCACTTAACCCCAGAGAAGCAATGGAAGCCGCCCGTGACATCCCCTCAAAATTGTGGGTTGTTAAGGCTCAAGTTGATGCTGGTGGCCGTGGTACAGGGGGAGGTATCAAGCTAGCAAAATCGGTTGAAGAAGTTGGCGACCTACTGCTCGTTGTGTGTGGTTCTTGAGCGACCGCCCGGCATGCTTTCAGTGGGGCTGCCCTGATCACATCCACAGAACCATGAAATCCCGAAATTGCATTTGCAGATCGCAGTGTTCCTGATTTCATAGACTTCAGCTTGCTGCATGTTTGGCAGACGTGACACGAACCAGCGTGGAGGCCTACCTGGATCCTCCAAGGTGTGCTTTTTGTTGTGCTCTTTCAAGAAAAAGTGCTTTTTGGCTGAAAAAGCGCTTTTGCTTGATGCGGGCTTTTCCCAGTGATGCATGCTTTTCTTGCTTGGGCTTGTGCTGAAAAAAGTGCTTTTCCTCGGTCAAAAAGCGCTTTCACTCGGCCAAAACGCGCTTTTTCTGACAGGCTTCGCGGCAATCTTGAAAAAGAGCAGTTGTTGGGTCAAAAAGCGCTTTTTGAAAGAAACAGCAGACATTATTGCTTTTTCGCCAAACGGCGGAAATTTTGCACACCCGGAGTGCCCAGGTATGAATCGATGGTTGAGCCCAACAGTGCACCACCTGCTTTGCGTCCCAGAATTGTTTGGTTGTGTTCCGTAGCGCTGCTTGCTTGCCTTTTGCTTGCCTTTGGCAGTGGCTTCGCCATTCGCTGTTCAACACCTCTCCATTTCCCGGCACACATCCGTTTTGCAGGACCCACTGGCCATCATGGCGAACTCAGAGCACACCGTGGAAGGCTTGTTACGCCTTCGAGCCTGCCTGAAAGAGAAACTGCCTGCCATTCATGTCGAGCCAAACGATGGCGAGTTTCAGGCTCGGCCTTGGGAGTCCCAGGAGTTTCTGAATAGGGTCTCCAAGATGTTGGGGGTTCGAAGTCGCAGTGGCTCTTTGGCCAAAGCAGACAGCCCGCTGCTGGAGTATGCCACGATGAGTGGCGCTGGCAAGTCACGTTGGGGTTTTGAGGTGGAACGCTTGCTAAAGCGGGACCAAAGCTTCAACTCGTGTGCAATCTCTCGCATAGGGCTGAACTTCAACGGTGGCACTGGTGCCGGGGGAGCTGATGGCACGGAAACAGAGTATTTGTGGAAGCAAAACATAGACTTGGAGCAAATCATGGCCACACTACTTCTTGCTCGGGGGCTTTTGCAGTGCTCGCCAGCCAAATTGCGGGAAGATTGGTCAAAGGGCTTGACAGTCAATACAGTTCTTGACGCAGTCTTCAAAAGCTTTACAAACAGCTCAGCGGCAAACAAGAGCATACTGGTTGTGCATGTGGATGAGCTCGGCAGGCTGCTGAAGCGTGGGTTCAATGACAGACAACTCAAAGACTTTGTGAACTTTTTGGCTGAATACAACTGTCAGCCGAATCCTTCGGGATTGGTGGTGCCGGTCATTACGCACACTGCACCGGTGGTATGGGATCCAGAGCCGACTGTGCTACAGTTGGAACGCTTGAACCTTTATCCGTTCAGCTTTGAAGACTCCACGAAGTTCTTGCCAGGCTTGGCCTTGACTCCTTCACCGGTACAGGGTTCAACTGATGGGGGGAAGGGCATGATGTGCAAGTGCTTTGGTTTCGAGAGAGCAGATAGCATGTGATGCACACTTGCATGCATTGCGTCCTGTGCTTCCCCTGAGGCCTGAATATCACTGGCTTGCAAGCCCGGCTTGCCATCAGTGCCTGCGGAGGTCATGCAGCGTTGCTGGTCCAGTTGCGCCGCTTCATGCAACGGCAGGCCGGTGGACTTGGTCCACTGCTCACATGCGACCGCGTCTATCAACATGAAGCGGCCGTGCTGAGCGAGACAGTGCGGCCAGCCTGCTTTGCATTGGTTCAGGCTGTGCTGCTGCAAAGCATAGTTCCCAAATCCAAGTTCCAGGACTTTTTTCAACTTGGCCTAGCCTTCATTGAGAGGACGCGGGCGACAGTCCGGGTGACGGTACCGTACCCATTCTTCTTGAACCTGCTGATGCAGTTGGATCGCCCAGAGCGTTTCAAACACCTGCGACCCGAAAATCCCACTGGCACAGACCGCCGCTGGAGTTCGAAGGCGTTCGAGGCACTTTGCACAATGCGAGTGGCCATTGACATGGATGGCTTTCCCTACGACCTGCCCTGCGATCCTAGAGCAGCAGCGATAGAATTCAGAAGAGACAGGAAATCTCGTGTGTGTCTTGCAGAGAGCGATACGGAGCGGGGTGTGGACAGCATCGGATTTGACGGCAACACCATGACCTTGGTTCAGAGTAAATACCCAGAGGCTGATACAACCCAAGAGTGGAAGGAAATTAGGGAGTTCATGAACTTCGCAAACACGACTGGTGTTGATTGGGCTAAATCAGCAAATTGCACAAGAATTTGTGCAATCTTTGCCACTGCGAGGGCATCAAGAAACTATGAATCGGAGTGGCCAATGGAGCTCAATGTCCAGGAAGTGGTCATCACTTACGTAATTTACGCCAAGACACAAAACAGCAGAAGGTGCGCAGTCCGGACAAAGCAGATCGATGAATGGATCCCTCCAGGACTCATGTGCATGTAACAGCAACAGAAGTCGCGCGTCTGGACAGCTGCTGTGGCTGCTGCTCCTGTGGAAAAAGTCGCCAGCGTTCCAGAGTCAGCGCCAGGGAAGTCTGATTACAGGGTCTGATTACAGAGTCTTCGCCAAATTGCTCATGCGTGTTTGATTAGTTGTTACTGTTTGTTTATCCTAAGAATGTTTCCTCAGGACTCCCTCGTCTCGGCTTTTTTGGCATAAAGCTGCCTGACATTGAAAGACTGCTTTTTGAACGGACGCATCAACAGCTAGAAGGAGAGGAGAGTCAAAGTGGCTGTACTGGTGTACGCATTCACGAGGTCGGGTCTCTGAAGACAGAGCTCGCCAAAGGTCTCCGTTACACGGCTCCGACAAAAAGACACACACACACACCGTGTTTTTGGTGCTGGCTGCTCCTGGACAGGGGAAGTCGCGCTGTCTGCAGGAGCTGCCTGCGTTCATCAACGCGACTCAGGCCATTGGCCAAAGGCGGAAGTTGTCGTTCCTTCTCACCTTGGAGAACGGACACGGGAGCCACAGGGCAGCGGCGTCCATCCGCTCCAGCGCGCGCCCCATGGTGTTGGGGGATACTGGTCGGCCCAACCGTTCTTGCAGGTAGCATGGCCTGTGTTGGAGGCTCGCCGCATTTTTTGGTCAGTAAACGTTGGAGGCTCGCCGAAGAAAGTGGCTTGGTACTGGTCTGCCCAACGGGTGGGGGGAGCTGGGCTTGATACTGAGCTGGCCAACGGGGTCCGGCGCAGTCTGCCGCAGCTCGGGACCCGTCAAGTTTGTCAAGTTTGTCAAGTTTGTCGAGCCTGTCACATGGCCTGAAATTTGTGCAAAGTGATGCAAAAGTCGGCTTGGAAGTCAGCGCAAAGTTCAGAAAATAGCCAAAATCACTGGGTTTGACAGACTTGACAGACTTGACAAACTTCACAAACTTGACAAACCTGACAAGCTTGACAGGGCTCCCTGGGCCGGGCAGTAAGCTCAACGTGGAGGCAAGAAGCTGACATGCCACGAGAGCCGCTTGGCAGGCAGCAGACAGCTTTGCCAAGGCATGTCAGACAGGTCTTTTGGGCCAGGCAAACAATGAGGTTTGAAGAATTAGCCAGCGAGTCAGCCAAGGACCTGTACATGTCCATGCAGGCAGACAGCCAGCGTCACCGTGAACAGGCAGGCGAAGACAGAGAGGAGCACATAGACAGCTTGCCGCCATGGCCCGGTAGGGAGGCCAGACAGATAGGCAGGCAGTTTAGCAGTCAAGGCCAAGTCATCATTTCTGTTAGTTCCTTTTTTTTTTGGTTTGGGGAGTGTTATTATCATTTATGTGTTGGAGTTGTTTTGTTTCTGCTAGTATAATTATAATTCTTTATCATTTTTGTTCATTCGGGGGAACAGAAATGATGACAGCCAGGCGAGAGGCCAGGCAGGATTGGCTATAAGGGGGGAACAAAGCCAGGCAGGAAGCCAGGCAGAAAGCTACGGAGCCGCGCGAAAAAAAAAAGTCAGAGAGTCAGGGAGTGAGGGACAACCAGGGACAAACTTTTGGGGAGAGAGTCAAGAACAACCTTTTGGGAACCCACTAAAAGAACCCAACCTTTTGGGGAAGCCAGCTTTTGGGGAAGCAACCTTTTGGGGAATTGAGGAACCCACCTTTTTAAAAGTGGAGCTGGAAGCTTGCTAAAAGTGCCCCCTAATAAGGATTTCAAGACTTTAGTATTGGTTTAGTGTTGGGGCAATTGAAAATCAATTGTACGGAGTGGAAATCTGGCCTCGGGCCCCGGATTTGCATTTATTATTAATGGGGTCATTCATTAATAGGGGGAGGAGATTATTGGTTTCACACAAGATGATCTTATAAACGTGAGCCGCATGTATTTGATTTGATGGACTGTTGGCTGTATAAAGGCAAGCTCGCGATGGCACCAAAGTTGGATTCAATCCGGGATGAATGAACATTGGCTAGGGGCAATGCTCTCATAGCTGGGAGGAGGCACGGGAAGGTCTTGCGGCCAGCGGCTCAAGCGCGAGCTAGGTTGGTTTAACAATTTTTCAGGCGTCTCCATCAGATGAACGTTCGCATACCCAAGCAACGATGCTCTTTGTCCAAGGCAAGCTTTGGGTGCATTCCCACCCCTTTTCATTCCAAGGCCAAGGACCAGTTTCCGAAGTTTGGCATGACCATGAAGGCGGCCAACCCATAGCAGCTTCTTTATAATCGAAGGGGGAAATTCACACCGCCAGCTGGCGATGCAAACTCCACTTGCGCCAGTGTGTCCTTCAGATCTGTCGGTGTTGTTCAAAACAAAGCGAAACAGCCCATTGCCGCGCGTAGTTACCTCATGCAAAGGACCCCAACAACCTTTTTCGTGAAGCTTTCAAAAGCTACCCTGCCCAATTCCGCTTGGCAGCTGAAAAGAGGAACGGTGCAAGGCATTATTGGGGGCCTTTGGAGGAGCCTGGAGGTGTTGAGGCTCTCAACCCATCTTTTGTGATTTCAGGACAGCGCCGCCAGAGCTGCGGCCGACGTGCAGAACGCCGTGAACGGCCATGTGAACGCCGAGGGGGGGTGATGAACTGAAAGGGGGCGATGAACCCGAGGCAGAGGGGGGCGATGAACTCGAGGCGGGGGCTCCCTTTCAGGGCAATGAAATTCGGGAAAGGCTGCGCGGAACTTGGGAGGGAGGCGATGAACTTCGGGGAGGGAGGCGATGAACTCGCTTCTGTGCGGACTACAAGCCCCTTTCTAAAACGCACTCCCGCTCGCGCTCCAATGTCTGCTGAATGTTGCATTTCACTTAATTGCAAACGTGGCGCAGATGGGTGTGGAGCAGCTGGACCAACTTGCGCCCTACTGCTCCGTCGCAGTCTTCATTGTCCGGACGATTGGGCTGGCTGGACCTGAGCCCAGGACTTTCCTGGCCAGGTTTTCAGGGACAGCTTCTACCTTCTCATTTGGCGGTGAGATTATGGGGTTTTCTTGTGAGCCTTGCTTTTGGGGCCATTGTGTGGGAGTGGTATGATTCGCGTGCTCTGCGCGGGTGGCCACGCTTTCTTGATACCCTGATCCTGTTACGCCTCAGGATCAGACGTGCAGTGCGAACCAGCTCTCGGTGCTCTCGCCTGTGATTTATAAAGCGTTGCCTTTTTCTGCAGATGTTTTCCTTGAATGCTGCGAGCTTTATTCTACATCTCGATCGATGCACTGCACAGGCAGACAAAGTGCGGGCACCCTATGCAACAGCTACCTTTCGTGGTTATTTGTGAATGCAGGCCTGCAGTACGGTCCAACTTTTCACGGATGGGTGCTATGTTTTGTGATTGGTATGGAATTGTCGTGGACTCCTTTTCGAGCGCTGGTTGCCGATTCTCACTCGCCGACTGGTTTTTCACTGAAATGTACGCTTACGCTGCTGTTTGTTTATTTCGTTTGATTTCGAAAGGGCCTCGGGAGCGCTACGCGCCATACACTACATATCGATCACCACGCTGCGACTGATGGGCGAGGTACCTGTCTTGGCTTCTCCGCTGGCCTTTTGGTGCCGTCGCCGCAGCCGTGCGTTCTCGTGCGGTTACACCTTGTACTGCTTTAGCAGAACTCCGGGGGTGGGTCCGTTGCCGTTTGACGTGAGTGGTGGCTCTTGCTTCTTGGTTTGCTTGACAGTACAGTGTTCCGCCCTCTTTCGGGATTTCCTTTTCTGCGCTTTTGCACCTTTGTGGTGGAATGGCTTATTGCGGGTATGAAGTTTGTCCTCGTAGCACGTTGGAAGTTTCGGCGCCCCTCGGGGAACTGAATCGCCTGTGCAGCCGATTGCCGCGGTTCACTTCTGATCCAAACAGCTTGGAACCAGATTCACACCCCAGCAGGTAATAGACCTGGAACCGGTCGAACACGCGTTGTTGACCGGGATTTCCGAATCTCAGGCCCCGCAGAGGGTGCAGAGCAGGAGTTGGACACGCATTGTTTGCCTTCTCTGACTTTCTCTGAGCAACGCCTGTCAAAAAGGAGCGCGACCGTTGTCCGCCTTCCCCTTTTTCGGGTTTTGTGGGTTCCTCCATTTGGCTTGAAGCAGTGAACCGGATTCTAACTGGCGTGATTGCGGCCGCGTGGGTCAAAACAATCAACTCATTTTGCAAGGGCCGCGCATTGTGTACAATACTTGGCTCGGGAGCTCTGCAATGCCTGTTCGCACCATGGCGGCCATCCTTGGCTTAAGGGAAATGATGCCTGCCTTGCTGCTGAGTGTAGGGCCAGGCGCAAGGCCTAGCGTCTTACACCGTTTGCTCACCTTTACGCCGGCTTCCTGCATCATGTGGGAACGCTCGGCCTGAGGCTGTGCTGTGTACCTGGCCTTTCACTTTGCGTCCTTTGGATTGCAGGCCAATTAGGGAATTTGTTTTGCTTGTCGCTTCTCAAAAGCTTTTTTGTTGCACGTGAACTCTCCGTTTAGTCGACCGGCGATTATGCTGAAGGCGCCACGGGGAAAAAACAGGCCCGGGGCAGCACCACGGCGGGGACGGCAGGGCGCAGCCAGTCTGGCTCGGCAGCGAGCGTGGCAGTCGTGGCAAGCCGCTCGGCAGGTGGGCCAACGGCGGCCGCGGCAGGCGTTGGCGGGAGCCGGAATGAGTCGGCGGCGTGGCGATCTAGCGCCCCAAACACCTGCAAGCAAGCATCCTGCGCCGGGGCTAGGATGTAGCCGTCCGACAACGAGAGATTGCAGGTGGGGCGGCTGGGGGGGCAGGCGCTGCGGCGGACAGCTCCGCGCACCACGGCGCTGCCCGTCGGTCAGCTCTCCAATGGGAAAGGGAATGCGCACACAACCTGCCAGCTGCGTGCAGCGACGGCACGCACAGCCAAGAGCTCGGAGTTCCCACAACATCTGGAGGAGGCCCCGCCCGCTGCCACGCAGTCTGCGCCTGCACGGGCGGCTGTGCGCCCTGCCAAGCGGCTACGCTGCGTTCATGTGGCGCCGAGGGATCGGCGACCAATGCGCGGCTCGGTGCGCAAGTTCGGCTTTGCCAACCCGCACGCAACGACATGTGCCGCCGGCGGTTCCGGGGTGTCCTGGCCAGTGAACGTGCGGATCGCGTAGTCCGCAACGCTGGCCTGCGCCGGTCCGGAAGACGAGACGGCGGATGAAGGCCCGCCTCGCGGCACGACAGCCGCAGCCCGCACAAGTCATCTTGTCCTTGCGCAGATCCTGGGAAGACCGCTGCATGTCTCACGCCATTGCCAGCAGCTGCAGCTCTTGGTGGTGTCAGAGCACGAACGCCACCTTTTCCAACTTCCACTCGGTGACGCGTGAGAGCAGCACGGTTTTGTACATGTTGCCACGATGTAGACGCCTCAGCCTAGCCTCCGCTGCACTCCGCCTCTGCTGCGCTTTTGCTGGACCAGCTGGTGAACCGGCGTCCCCTGCCACCTTCTGGGGCCAGACTGCAAGAACTCATCCGACATGACATGCTATCACCTTAAATTCATGCGGAACGATCTGTACGTCCGCAAGAGCAGGCTGTGGCAACCATTTGCAGGATGCTTCGGCCTTGCAATCGGCTGTGGTGCTAGCTTCATGTTTTGCCCGAGCCTGCTGGCGCTGGCATGCGCGCTGTCAGACGGAAGGCTCCGATGGGTGAAGTTTTGAGAAATAATGCAACAGAGCTTTAAGACAGTGGTCGACTTGTATTTCGTCCAGACGCTGCCTTGCACTTGAGCAAACTTCAAGCTGTCCGAGTTTGCGCACATGCCCCGCGCTGATTTTCTACTCAGCAGCCAGCCGGAGCTGCGCACGTGTCTGGCACCTCCTGACTGGCAACGAATCGCATGGAGTGCACCAAGACGTCTTGAAAAGAGATTGCCGTCGAAACCTCGGACTACGCCGTCGAAAAAAGCACCATACGTTTAACTTAGCCACGGCCAGCTCCGGCTGCCGCGGCTTCGGCCAAATCTTTGTACATGTGGAAACTACGATCGCGCTGAATTGAATCAATGCGTGGAACAATGAATTTTGAATGCTGGCTTGTAACATAGCTCATGATCAGGCATACTTTTCACATCTTCTCGCAAATTCCGCATGCTTTGCGAGCCACCAGCGCCGCTCGCTGCGATGTACTGCATGGCGACGCAGCAAAATGACCGTAGCAGCTTGTCGTTGGATGCCTGCAGCGCTTACCGGGCTTCCGTGTAGGCGGGAGGTGACTGTGAGTATACTCGTGCCTGTCATCGAAGAAAGATGGCGTCAAACCCAGCTGCCTCTTCCTCTGTGTCTTCTGCTGCTGTCTCCAAGCCACCTTCCGAGTCAGAGCCTGCGTCGTCCGACTAGCTTACGCTCTGGCAACTTCCGCCTGCTTCTTGGCGCTTGCTTCCGCAACCGATAGCTTGGCAGCGGCTTCTCTTCGCTCGTTGGTCTTACACACTTCTCCGTTTGCTTGCCTTCGGCCGCTCTTCGCTCCATGGAGCTTTAAGTTTGAGACAACGAGCAGCGTTAGCATGATTCGATCTTCAGCCGCCTTCGGCCTGAGCCCTTGTGCAGCCTTCCGCCTGACATCTCTCGTCCGGCCTTCGGGCCTTCGGCTGGCGGCAGCTGGCAGCTGCCAGTCTGAAAGCTGCCAGTCTAAAGTGGCCAGCCTGGAGCTGGCAGCTGCCATGCTGGAGTCTGAAGCGCAGCTGCCACCTGGTGGCTCTGAGTGGACGCGTGGCCCTAGGCCCTTTGAGCTTGCTGCTTCTCTCTGCTCCTCTCCGTGCAAGCGCCATCAAGAAGGAAGGCGAGTTTGCGCGAGGCACAAGCAATGAAGCACGGCAGAGGGGGTACACGTCCAGGCCCGTGACAAAGGCAAACCGAGGGTTCCAAGAAAGAGAAGCGCGCCGACGGAGCTGAGGGGCCTCTCTCCGTGTGGGTAGTTTGACTTGGAATTGGGCGCCGCGAAGTCGGCATTGAAGCAGGAGCCACGAGAGCTCTCGGATTCGGACTCATCCGAAATCTCAGGATGCCAGATGTTGCAAACTTGCAATTAGAGCGGAGGTCAGTGCTTTCACGCCAGACTCTGGTCAGAGTTCCTCGCTTGCGGGCATTTGCGCATAACGGGAAGACATTGAGTTGTTGATTGAACTGTTCCACAAAACAGTGTGCCGACAGAGATGCGTGAGATTGTTGCAACCTTTCAGCATTATTGTCTTGCAGAAGGTGGCTCCTTCTTCCTTCGCCCTCTCAACGGCCACGCTCCGGTTTAGAGTTGCAACTTTGCGGTGACTGTGTGCAAGCAAGTCGACGGTCAGCTTGTGGATCTCATCGCGACAGTTATGAATACAACAGGAACTTACATAACGGCGGCTGACATGAGAGCGCCTGTCATTGATGCTTGCTTTTGTGCTGACAAGGGTGTTTTGTTGCGTTCTCAGATGACGATGTCCAACAAGTACAGTTACGATGACTCGTTTACATGATTCTGTCGTTATATATTGCCTTGCAGAGGACAGGAAAGGCGATCTCAGGCATTGAATTCTTGTGGGTTGTGCCTAGCAACAACATCTGCAGTTTCCCAGACCTGACGTGGCCATGACTCGTTTCACCGTATGTTTTGTGTGGCGGCTTCCACAACCGCCTGATCGAGAAGCTTTGTTGATCAGGGTGACTGGGAGCTCCAATCCATGCATGTGTTTTTCATTGCGCTTTGCTTGTATAGTGACGTCATGTTTTTTGCAAGCAAGAATCGGGTGATTCTCCAAACTATGGGACTCTTCCACTTAAGTTTTCCACTTCGAATGGCCAAGACTTCCCAGCGTGTTGCCTTTCGTAGAAAAGAACCTATGGGTTTCAGTCTACGCTGGGGTTTGTCAGTGCACATCTTCGTCTGCCGGTCTTTTAGCTCGGCTCAAACGCGGTTTGCGGCGGCAAAGTCACGAGCAAGGCAAATCCCAAGGGTTCCATCAACAAAAAGACACTGGAGAATCACGGGGAACATGACTCACGTGGAATCCCTCATCCAACAGGGAAGACGTAATCGTGCAGCCGCGAATCATCTCCAGTTCCCAAAATCATCTTGGGTTGCGGCAGTTTTGCTGAAAGACATACAGCAGCCCCAAGCTTTCCACTTGGCCTTTGACGCAAAGTGTGTTCCGCCCAATTCCATTTACAAGTGAGAACGCGACATCTCTACATCCAAGTCTTAGGTTAGTTATTGGCATTGGCTACTGACGCGACACCTCCGTTCTTCTGCGTGGCCTTTGGGCGACTAGGCAATTGGGGATCGGCAGATTTTGGCAGATCTTCCGGGGAAAGGGAAAAGGGTTTCAGGGGGAGTTTTCTGGAGAAATCGGTGTGAGTCGCGGCATGCAGTCTTTTTCGAGCTCCCCTCACAATCAGCCCGACTTAAGTCGTTTTGAGCTGGAACGGACTCCGTCCTCCCGAAGAGTGGCCTGAAACGGGACCTGGCGCCGGCCCGGAAGTGGTATGGGGGGAGGGGACAAGAAGCTGGAAGCGCAGCCGCATGGATTCAAGAGGGGGGGTTCACCTCACACGAGCATCGAACACATCACTGACGAGGTGTTGGAAGCAAAGCACAGCCCAGAAACTCTCACTTTGACCCGAATTTGCGACAGGTTCGCGTCCAGAGATGCCGACCGCTCTTGAAGGTTTCTTCGTCTTGAAACGCGGGACGGGATCCCTCAAATGGTGTTTTTCTCCTATGATTTTCCCTTTAAACACCCGGCACCCTGAAAGAAAGACCAGTTGAGTTTTCCAGAGCTTGGCGCAAACTGCGGGGGGGGTTCGTCTCGCCCGTTTTGGGGACAAACCCTGAGGCATCACCTTCCGCTTCGTCTCGGAAGCGGAAAGGGCGATACCACTGCACCTCTGAAAAGTCGCGGGGAACTGGGCCGGGAGTCTGGGTCAAAGCACCGGGGCAACTGGACGAAAAGGTTTTGGTCCATGTTTCCATCCCGAAAACAACCCAAATTTGGGTGTTTTTGGCAAACCGCAGAAACTTGGAGCCTGGCTGTTTCTTATTTGCCGATCGGGCAGCCCAGTTTGGAGTTCCGGCTTGAGCCACAGCCATTTGGGGGACTGGACCCTGTTGGACCGTTTTGTGATCCAACCGTGTGATCGGGGGGAAGAGTTGAGCTCTTTGAAGAAAAGCCCAAGCTGCGTTTCCTGGGGCTTGCGTCTTCTGGGCAGAGTCTTCTTCTTGGTTTTTGAAGTTAGGCGTCTGACGTATCCTTCTTTTGAATCTATTCTTCCCTTCCACTGGTCCCCTTTTCAACAGTAGGGACCGAAGCCTATGTTTTTCAGGAATGTGTCGTGTGGAAGATTTATCAGCCGATGCACACGTTTTTTTTTTTTTGCATGACTAACGGACACGCTCGTTTGCTCGTGGGTATGAGCAAACTAAGCTTTTGACCCTTAAACATGCGTACGTCTCGGGAGGAACTTTCTGCAGCGAAGAGGGTATGTCCTGTGCAGATTTCAACGACCTGTTTCTCGCTCTGCTTCCCTCCTCGTTTGCCTTTTGACCGGAATGCAAACGGCTCCGATGCGGGAATCGGGTGGCTCTGGGCATGGAGGATGGGTCTTACGACCCGAACCCGAAGGGAGGATTCACCTTGGTCACCTTGGGTTATCGAGAGACGCAGAAAGAAAGGAACGTGGGCTGACATCCCCCGTTTCGGGTCCCGATTCCCGTTTCGGACACCGCCAGGGGGATGGGTATGCTTACGGGTCATTCCAGAACTCGAAGAAATTCCCCCGATCGCATCCCGCGAGCACGGGACGACCTTGTTTCTCCACCGCACAGCTCATTTTGTTTTGTTTTTTGAACGAAGGTGTGCTCGATTTTCGCCGCCGCATTGCACCAGCAAGAAGATCGTCCCGGTTTGGTAAAGCTGAAGCGTGCAATCGGGTCGTAAGACCCATCGTCGATGCCCAGAGAACTGACGCCATATCATTTGGGCACTTTTGGTCCCCCAAAGATCTCCATTCAGGGTTCCACTTTTTGAACAGGTAGACTTAAACCCGGTGGGTCAGACTACCCCCAAAAACAGGAACCTTTGGGTTTGAGCCTATGGAGTCAAGAAGTGGAACCGTTGCCATTTTTTGGGAGGCCGTTTTGGAGCCTCGCTCCTCCGATCGATTCGAAGGCTAGCCAGATGCTCCGGAGACTGAGTTGCTGCGCGCCGGCCTTGGACACTTTCCGCAGATCAGAACGGGGTTCCTGAATTTTTTCGAGGCTCGGTGAAGCTGTTTGGGTTGTTCTAGTGGTAGCAGCCTCGCGAGAAAGCGCGATTTTTTTTTATGCAGGTCGCGTATTTCGGGATATCCATTTGTCAGGTGCGATCTAGAGGCACGCGAGATTAGAACCTCGGACTTGAGGAGATGATGTCCGATTTGCATGATCTCCAAGTACATTTCTCTTTGGTGATCTTGCCAGATCTGGGTTCTTCTGTATTCTAGGTGTTGACACCTTAGGTTGTTCTCATCTTGGGCGAGAAAAAGATCGAGACAACGGGAGCGCGACTTTCCGCCTTTTCATGACGAGTTTTTTGGGGCCCTTACGAGTACTCGAAGTTTCCGGTACCTGAAAGCTGCTGCTGGGTTTCGCTTTTTGAGACACGCAGAAATGCAAACAGGCAAAGCACTCACTGCACACTGTTGTGGAAACGACGCAGGCCTGTGGGGCTTATAGGCACTTGCCGCCCTGGAAACACTCGCCTCCGGTCAGAAAGTGCAAATCGCCCAGAGAAACATCTCCGCGACCGGCCAACTGAAGGGGAACCCAACACTCCAAGCTCTTCTTGCCTCAGCGCAGGTCTGTAGCACCGCTGTAGGGGAAGGGGGCCTATTTAATTGCTATTGGGTCGGACAACAAAAACTTGGCCAAGTATCAAGCTTGTTGGTCATACTCTACGCAGGGGTTGAACAAAAGGTCCGGCAAACATGGGCTGACCATCAGGGAAACCATCAAACAAGGTTTGATATTTGAACCACATAGGAAAAGTCCCCATGGTCATATTGGGGTCAGGAGTATTGGTCAATCCCCATGTTTCAATGATAGTAGAGTGCCTTTGACACGCCCCACAAGTAAACGGCGGCGACTTCTGACCAACCAACTCAGTACACTTGGCGAATCAGGTTTGTGGGATCGAGGAGTTTCTCCCCACTGTGATACACAGGAATCTCCTCCTTTATATGGGGGGGTCAGTCTTTGAAGAACACTTTCTTGTATCAGAGGTGGCGAATCATTTGGGAGTGGCTGACAATTTTGGAGCTGCAAATCGCGGGGCTTGGTCTGGCTGGGAACCGTTTGGTACCATTTGGGCTTTCGCCATTCTGGGGGATTCTGGGGCTGTCCATTTGACCCACGGCCATCAGGGGCGTTTTTTTCGTCTCATCGCTCGTTTCGACTCGAGACTCGGCGCGTTTCAGGTCCACGCAGGCGGGCGGCCGGGTTCGGAGATGGCATCTTGCATGCGGGTCTGCTGTCCTTCCGGTCGGCCAAAGCCACGAAGCCATTTTAGGAAAAGCTGAAACGAGGAGAACAACAACATCGAACTTGTCATGTTCGACCGCTGATTCAGTGTCAAGGCTGCCATGCGGGGCTTTTCGCTCCTTTTTTTTTCCCGCCTCGCTGGCGGGCAAAAGTTCTGCCCGGCTCGAGGCCTGCTGCCGGAAGCCCAGGAAGTCGTGTCGCAGACTGCAACCAATTCGGCACATCGTGGCTCAAGCAGATTGGACACAGAGACAAGTACCCTTTGCCAAGTTCTTGGCGCAAAAACGAAAAGCAACAGACCACAAAACTTGCAATCGGTGAGAGAGATGCGATCGGGAATGAGAGTTATGGAATGAGCCCTACAAAATCCATCCAGCTGGTGGTTTCCTTTAAGGGGACCCCTGGGTTCATTCCCTCATTCCCTGCTGAGCACCAGCAAGAAAAGGGTGACCAAAGATTGGCCAAAGGGTTTGTTCAAAGGGAAGGCACCAATTTGAGGCTAAAGTTTTTTGAACTTTTCAGCAACTGGTCATTTGTCTTATTTCTTGACAGCATTATCACATACAGAAGGACCCCCACCCCGGCAAAACAAGTTCTCACAAACCCCGTATGAACCGCCTCTCAGAAGTCTTTTGTGGGAATTGTGGCCTTTGGTGTCATCCCTAATGTTGCATGGTTGATTGGCATCCACCATCGCGCTGGATGGCTAGATGGTTAATGAGTTGCTTGTTTGGTCGATTCGTTTGTTGGTCAGTCGTTCGCTTGGTCGCGGGTTGGTTGGTTGGTTGGTTGGTTGGTTGGTTGGTGGCTGGTTGGTTGGTTGGTTGGTTGGTTGGCTGGTTGGTTGGTTGGTTGGTTGGTTGGCTGGCTGGCTGGCTGTTCGGTCGGTCGGTTGGTTGGTAAGTCCTATGAACATATTGAATATGTTTTGCAACCAGATTGCCAATGTACCCCAAACATATGTCACATTCGAGCAAGCTGAACGTAGGCTTCGGCTTCATTTGGTTTTCCCCTCCGACTCGAACTTGCTGGCATCCATTCTGGGTGAGATTAGTCATAGACATCAGCAAAAAGGATCTTCTACAGGATTTTTTTCCTTTTTTTGGCCAAATGCCCACACAAAGCAGGGATGTCCCGTAGATGTTTTCTGCAGCCTTCTTGGAAGCTTCGTTCTCGTGCTCAAACTCGCGGGAGTTCAAGGAGACTTCGGGGCGAGCGGCGGAGCTTTGCGCGGCGCTTGGCTTTGCTTCTTTTGTTCCACAAAGCTGCAGCGCTTTGGTTCCTTCGATTGAACCACCCGTGGCTTGCGCCCTTTCCTTTTGTTCCACAAGCTTTTTCTTGGTTCTGGATTGGTTGACGCTGAACAACAACAAAACGCCCCCGTGAGTCAGAAGCTGAACTTGGATGATCAGGCCATGACGCGGACATTTGGTGCCAGTGTTATTGCTAGTTTGTTCAACAAGTTCCGCCAACAAGGCGGAAGCTTTTCCAACCCCGAAAAAGGGAACCTCAAATTGATGCGCTGGAGATTGCTCAAGTTCTTGACCCCTTCTTTTTGGTCCAAGCCAAAGTTCGGTACCCGGACCTTTGGATGTTGAAAATAAGAAGCTTGAGGGTGGCTCCCATTCAACAAGGCCAGATCTTGCGACTGGATTTTTTCTCGCCACGTGCTTTGGATTGGTGAGGTGTCCCGGAAGGGGTGTGTGTGTGTGATACCTATTAGGGTTTTCGCGCTTTTTTGACGGAGGACGCCCAACTCCCGCCCAACTCCCGCCCAACTCCCTTTTTTCCCCGAACCCGCAACTGGACTGTACCTTGGGAAGGCCATCGGACGGCTCCTTGCAAGACGAGTGTTGGTGTGGGCACTGCCTGAACAGCATCTTGAATGTCAGATCCCCCCATACCAAGCCAATTCTAGACCAGGTTGGCCACTGTGGCAGTATGAAGTCAAAATTGCAGCCATACAAAGACTAAATCAATACCAAGGACTGCTGGGGAGAGGGGATCCAAACTTCGGGCTAGATGCCACACAGGTTCTTTGAACGGATCAGTGCATACCTACGCAAGGCAAACGTTTTGTGCGCAGCATGGACGCAACTCCTCGCGCCAAAAAGGCCCTTTTGCGACTGGCGGTGTGACCCCCAACGAGGCTGAGAAGATGCTCACCGCCGCGCAGCGAGGCGCCTGGGCCAAAAAAGGGCCCAAAGAAATGAGAGGAGAGAAGCCTGGGAGTCTTCCGTGTGGCCCTGGTAGAAGCAAGTTCGAACCTCCCCCCGGAAAAAAAGAAGAAGACGGGGACGGACATGAAGTTAGCCGCCTAAGTGCTACGCGAGGACTTGCCGAAACCCAAATTCGGATCCTGAGATTGGGCTCTGTTTGCCATTGAGTGTGACCTAAAAATTGAGTGGTTTGGATGGCTGTTTGACATTGGGCGATCCCAACTTTTGCAATGACCAAAAAGAAAGCCATCGGGAGACGAACAAACTCGAGCGAACTTTCATTTCCGGGGCGCTCACGGAGTTTTTTGCCACAGCCAGCTGGTGACCCGTCTTTGTTCCATTCTTAAAAGAAAAAAAACAACAACAACAAAAAAACAAATAAAACAATATGTCCGAGACCGAGATCAAAGGTCAGGTTACCCCGTTGGTCTTTTGGATTGGTTTGGATTTGGACTTGAAGCCATAGAGCTCGTGGGTTGGGACGCCACCCCTTCAAGCCACCAATTGGAGGGAAGTTGATTAAACAGGGCAGGAGATGTCCAGAAAAACGGGACCCTTCCTTCTTTGAGCCCTATTCTTTTATATACGGCTTGGATGTGACCCTGGCCAACGCCAAAGATGAGAAAGGGGAAAACACCACAAGACAGGGGGGAAAAAACAAACGATTGATCTTGCGGCTGAAGCCGTTTTCTTCCAAGCGAAGATTCAGGTGACCCTTTGGTTTTGAGCTTGGAACACATGGCTTTACCCAAGCAAGAAACCTTTGAGGAGTCGGTTTGCCTGCGATTAGTTCTTGAGCCGAAGGAAAATGTATTTTTCCACGAGCTCCCAAACGAGGGGATGTCAGGAGCCCTGGAGCGGAACGACTACGCGGACGAGCTGCGGAACCTACCAGAGCCTCTCGGCGAGACGAGACATCCGAGACATCGACCCCCCGTTTTTTTTTTTTTTTTTTGGTTATCTTTTTATTTTTTTTATCCATTTTTTCCGAGTTGGGTGGCTCAGTTTTTTTTGGTAGTTTCAGTTTGTTTGCTTTTTGTTTTGGTGTAAGGGTTCAGAGTCGTGTTTTTTGGCTTATTGTTTTTAGGGTCTAGAGGACCGAACTCGAAATCAGGCAATCAGGTTGGCGCTTTGGATTTGAACCTTGGGCTCCAAACCACCAAGTCGAGGGGATGACCATCAAAAAAAGAGAGCCTTTTTAGCAATCAAAAAGAACACTTTCCCAAATAGAGGGGAGCTGACAAAAAGACACACACACACACACACCTACGCTTCCACCGAGTTTTGGGTAAGTTTTGACTTGGGGGTTTCAGGGTGCAGAGGTGGCGGGTTCCAAGTTGGTCAGTTCAAACCCACAACCCGCAAAATCCAGTGATCGATGCCAAATGATTAGCCAATGACAAGGGAACCATTGACAACAGCATGAACAAGCCATTTCGAAAGGATGCCTTGTTGACGGTCGTTACGCGTGATGGTTAGCTCACAAGATTGCAAAGGCAGTCAGCCAAGTATGCTGAAAGCCCAATGCGAATCTTTTCAGATGCAGAAAGCCGACCCCCAAGCTGCGAAACACAACGCTGGTGTTTGAAGAACCGTGTGGCGAACGAACATGGATCCGGACTCGGTGAACCACCGGCAGGTGCCTTCGAAACGAGGGGAAATACCTTTGGTCCATCATCGAAAGCCAGCAGCCGGGTAAGTTTGGCGGATTTTCAAGCTCGACACTTCGAGTTTTTGTTTTTTGGTGCTTGGGTGGCACATGATCTCCTAATGAAATGTGGGCTGGCAAGCCCTTCAAGCCCTTGTTTAAGCATGTCTAAAATGCCGTCTCAACTTCCTTTCGGTTTCCCGAACGAAACCCAATCGGTGTTTTTTTAAGCCACCAGTTGGCCAGGCTCGGGGAAGATTTGGAGCATGTCTCTTTTCAACCAAGCGAGGTGGGTATCTCAAGCCAAGGAGCCACGCATGTTGAGGGCCTTGATACCACACATCAGCAAGCTTTGAACTCAGAGGTCGTTCTTTTTGCGATTCATAGAGAAGCCTCTCATCTGAAACCCCGTCCTGCGTCCACTGTGAGGATGTCGCCGATTCGACTCGATTCGAAGCGAAGGCCATTCGCCTCGAATCTTCGATTCCGAGGACGCTGCCGGAGTGCGCGCCGCCCGCGAAGGCGGTGATCCGGCGCAGCCACAACGGGCCCAGAGCCTCCGCCGGGCCGGGGGCTTGGGGCTTGGGGTGCGGGGGGGGGGAGTGGGGGGGGGAACGAGCTGCGCCGGGGTTGGTTTTTTTTTGGGTTTGTGGAGTCTCTCCTTCTTCTTTTTTTTGGAAGATGGGATTGAACCCAATGAACAAAGTGAGAAGGCAAAGATAGGCGCTCAGGATGTCAGGGCTGAGGACTATTGAGAGCCATAGCCTTTGGCTCCCCTGATGGCTCCACATCAGTATTGGAAATCAGGATTGCCCGTTTTAGTTGCTGTTTGAAGGGAAACCACATGAAAGCTACTGTTGCCATTTGTCCCCAGTCAAGTTGAGCAGTGCGCAACCACACCCAGTTTGGCCAAAGTAGATGGCCGTGCTGCATGGTCTCACTGCAGATCTATAGCTATTCTGGGATTTTTGTTGTAGGGTGTCTCCTTTCTGTGTTGACAGGGGGAAACGGAACCTGGTTTTTTACCAGCCCCTCGGGGCCTAGCCCAGGGACTGGTTGGTTGGTTGTTGGTGTGAGCTGGGCGGCAGCATCCCCAGCATCACCAGCATCACCGGCCTCGCTCGGACCAGGGCTGCCTATTGGCTTTGATTTGGTGGCAGAGAGTAATGAGGGCGTTGCCCCAAACCACCAAAACCAGCCCAAACGGTTTGCACACCTCGCGTAAATCAGCTCCAAGCCAACTCAAACCGACTCAAAGTCAACCTTAAACCCTCCCAACATCCTGGATATCAGCCCTTTGCAAAGCCGAAATGAGCCCCAAACAGACCCAAGACCCGCCCTCATTATATAAGACCGCAGCAGGCCCAACACTCGCCCGAAACCAGCCCAGAGCAACTCTCTGCCACCAAATCAAAGCCAATAGGCAGCACTCCGAGCGAGGCCGGCGATGCTGAAAATGCGGCCCACCAACCCCCCAGCCTGGCCAACGAGGCCCCGCAGAGAATACCGCCTGTTGCCCCCAACCTGAAAGCAAAGCAAGGGTTCCCAGCCAACCTCTTCAGAGCTACATGGGGGAGGCCTTGTGCTGAGCCGGGGCTGGGGGCTAGCAAAAAACGAGCAAAACAAGACACCTCAATCAGGGGGAACCGCCTTTTTTGTGTGTGGTGTTTTTCAGAGGGAGCCCTTTGGGGAACCCACCCCATTTTGGACCTAACTCCGTCCCCCGATTTTTGGCTACCCGTTTGTGCAGCATGTTTGTATTTCTTGGGCTTTGGGCCTTTCAGTTCGAACGGTGTACGCAAGGGGATGGATCGAATTGGGTCCATATCGGACAGGGCAAGTTTCTCCAAACGGGTCTGAAACTTGGCGTCTTGACCAATTCCAAAAAGGGGTACCCTCCCACCAAATATGGAACCTAGGCACCACTCAATATGGAACCTGACCGGGTCCGGGAAAAAAAAGAAAGGCTTTCAAAGGGGCTGTCAGGCTCGTCTCAGCCGTGTGAGGTTTCACCCCAAGAAAGGCGCCCCAACGGCCCCAAACTTTGGGAAGCGCCTTCACTTTCGGGCGGGCTTACCATCTGGACCCGAATGCATGTGTATGATCGGCGTGCCTTGGACTTTTCGTTTGCAGAATTTCCTTTGAGGGCTTCCCGATGGTAAATTGGCCGGTGAAGAAACATCCAGATGCGATGCCCAACAGATTCTTTCGGGCATTCGCCACTGCCAAAGAGCGCTGGAGGATTGGGTTGGGCTTCTCACAGGTTCTTCCTGCCACCTACACCTCCGCTTTCTTGGCGAGGTGCTTTTTGTATCGGTCTCACTGGGTGTTTGGATCGCCTTGGCTTTGGTTTCTCAGGGACCCCTAAGGCCAAAGAAGGCCTTCCTCGAAGGCTTCTCCCCGCAAATGCCGGGCCCCCATGCACCAAACCAAATCTTTTTCTTTGGAGTTTCCCCATTTGGCACTTGCAAAATTCAACAGGGAAGCACCTAAGTGGTTGGACATGAATCCCACCTAAATGGTGTAAAACGGGTTCCACGTTGACACACAACATGGCCCTGGGAGTTGCCGTGCTTGCAACATTTGCCTTTGAAAACAGAGGAAGCCAAAGCCGAGCCCAACAACCCATGTGTACACGCATGGGTGTGCGTCTTTTTGGGGACCCCCCAAAAAACGGTGGTCTTTCTTTGGCTTCACTTGGAAACCCACAAAGAAGGAAGGCCCTTAACAACAGCAACACGCGCACAAATGCTCGTCCATGGAAACGCATCAACGCCTAAAGGTCGATCAAGGCTTATTGGATGCCGGTTGTCCGGGTGCTTCTCAGTGAGCTGTGAGGTTTTGGGAAGCCTTTGAGAACCTAGGGACCTGTTCTGAAAGGGTCCCTGGAGGTTTTGAGAACCAGTTAGGGACCCTTTCAGAACCCTTGGGATCTCAACGAAACCACCAGCTGGATGGCTCCAACGCCGCATGAACGAACCGAGGTCTCGTTTTCCGGAGCAGATCTACCCAGGAACCCGACTGCCGCGATGAAGCGATGTTTTGGGCCGGGCTTTCTTGTTTTAACTCTCTTGGTGTTCATTTGGGTATGCATCAAAATAGGGGACCCCAACACTGGTGGTTTTGCGTTGGTTTCCCTTTTTAACGGGGCTGCAAAGAACAAAGTTTTTTGCTACCAACACCCATCCACAGCTTTAGGGTGTCCACTTGTTGTTGGCGTTTACAAAGGATGCTGAGGTTGCTCTCGGTTAGCCGAAAGCCTGCCAAGAGGCAGCTTTCGTTCACCTGCCGAAGTTGTTTGCTGAAACCATAGGTTGGTGAGGGTTTGGCACCGACAAATGCCTCCAAGGGCCCGTGATTTTTTCAGAGTCTCTCTCAAAGCTGATTGCAACACACTTGCCGCGGAGTCAGAGGTTGGCGCTTTGTTTTCCCCGGGAAAAGAAACACATGATCATGACTTAGCGTTCATGCTGAAATGGACTTCCGATTCCATCACTGGATGGCGGAAGGTTGTTCTGGGGCAACACGGGGTTTGACCCTCCGGCCCCTTTTAGGGAGGCCGTGTTTTTGCTTGTTGGTGGCATTGCCCTGGTTTGTTTGTGGTGGCATTTGGAATTGTATCTTTCTGGATGGATTTCGACCAGCAAACGTTTTTGAGGTTGTGAACTTTGGATGGCGAAAGGTTCGGTTGAGAGTTTCTCCGCTAACCTCTCCAAGGGGCCCCTTCAATTTGCGCCATTTGCCTGGGTGATGCTCTGCACTTTGGCGACATGACATTTGCTGTTTCGACTCGTTTACCGAGTTGCTAAGCAGGTGAGCTAGAAAAGCTCGCCTCCAGCTAAGGGGGAAGGGGCGGTGATGTTTGCAGCTTGGACGGTGAATCACCATAGAAATCTCGGTCCACATGCCGATTCGGGGGCACCAGGAGGCCTCATGAATTTCAGTAAGGAGCCTCATGAGCATATCGTGAACCTCCATGTGAACCAGTCATACAGAGAACTCCGGCTTTGTCCGGGTCGAAAGAAAAGAAGCCCCCCCCCCCCCCCACTTTTACCCCCCCCCCCCCAAAAAAAAAAAAAAAAAACAGAAGAGGAGAGAAAAGAGGAGAGAATAGAAAGAACCGTCTCGCCAGAAAAAGATGACCCGCGGAAGCCAAACAAAAACCAACGGTCACCAGCGCTCCGTTCGTCGGACGGCCGGGGCTCGGCCGTCGGCCGCTGGGGACGTCGATGTCGCGCGGACGCCGCGGCTCCGCGGCTCGCGCAGGTCACCCCCAGAACTTCACGCCGCTGCGGCCGGTGCCTGCGGGCTTCACTGCACTCGACCGGGCGCGCCCGGGGGGATGGGGTGGGGTGGGAGGATGGGATGGGGGAGGGATGGGATGGGGGGGGATGGGTGGGGGAGGAGTGGGGAGAAAAACGAGTCCGGGTAGGAGGCCAAAGAAAGGAAAGAGCATGTAACGAAGTCGGGTGAAGCCGAAGAAAGCGAAAAAGCGATTTGAGACACGTAACAGAAGCAGTTGTACTCAATATCCATGATTGGGTTCTTGAGTCTTTTGCCTCATGGAGGAGAAAAGGAGAAGCCAAAGGAGCAGTTTTTTTGCTGCATTGTTGCGGTGAGGATTCTGAGCGTTTGGGGTGGACACCGTCCACTCGGGTTCCTTCTTGCCTCTCGAAGCTCTCCAATTTGTTCGACGCCTGGGCCCCATGAACTTGGGCTGAATGAGATTTTTCCGCGTGCTCGGAACGTGACAAAGCGATGGAAACGCGAAAACTCCGCGGGGTAAAGGGCGGGAGTAGTGACTCGCTTTCAGGTCGCCAAATGCCTCGGGTCAGTGGTTGAGGGCCTCTTGGATGGTTTGGGCGAAACAGAAGATACCAGCCCGGGTTTGCTGGTTTGCTGGTTGGCTGGTTACGGCCAACGCCTCCATCTCCCACGTGAGCTTGTCCCTTTTTTTGAGGACCTTGGCGACAGAATGGGAGGCCCTGAAAGCATCAGTTGCTTCCCGGTATCGTGAAATACTTCTCGGAGCAATTGCAAAAGGACACACAGACTTGAGTGAAAAAGTGGGGTCATTGCAAGTGTTGTTGAAACATCACCCGACCGAATTGACACTCACTCAACCTCGGCAATTTAAGAGATAGCAACGGATGTCTACTGTGTAATAGCCCGTCTCCTTTGCACCTTGCATTCGCTGAAATGCAGAGTTTCTATTCTTTTCGCATGGTTTTGCAGGGAATATGGCCATGACCGGAACGCGTCTTCGATTTGTCGACACCGAGGCAAAAACAGTTAGACACGGATGGAATAAATGAAAATGAGCCTTTTAATTCCAAGAACCGAAGAGCAACCGAAAGAATCCAAAAATCAGACGTCCGTCGCGAGGAGATGCCATCCGATCTCCGGCCCTCGACGGAGCGGCTTGAAGTTGGGGCTTCCAAAATGCGCGCCAAAGGTTTCGGCTGAAGGTCCCTCAATTTCCAAAGGAACGGCTTCCAAAATCCTTCCTTAATTAGGGCTTTCCTTTCGTTCTCTTCTTCTTTGATTGTTTTTGCACATGAGAAACGGAAACCCCCCAAAAAAAAACCACCCGGATCCTTGGGACGCCGTTTTCTCCGAAGAAGCTCCCGCCTGGTCTTCGACTTCCCGACTCCTCGGCTCCCGACGCGTTGATGCGAGAGGCGGTGCGGGACGTGGCCTGGGAGAGCCGCTTCGAGCTGCTGGCCCGGCGCATCGCGCGCGGCGCCCGGGCTTCCGACGCCGACGCCGATCCGATCGAAGCCGTTGGAGAACGGGAAGCGAAGCGGAAGCCGACCAAGAGGAGCCCGTGTTGCCCCTTGGTTTGGCCCCTTTCTGCCCCTTTTTTTTCTTGTGGCGCCTTTTCCTTATTTTTTGCACTCTTGTTGCCCCTTTTTTGCACTTTTGTGGCCCGTTTTTTGCGGCTTCACCGGGAAAGAAGCTAAACAATCACTCTTGCATATTCTTTCCACAACATCCGAGTCTTTTTAATGGAACCCAGCAAGAAGCCGAAACATCGATCGGTGTTTGAAAAGAACGACGGTTGAACAGAAGTGTTGGAATCAAACCCTATGGGACTTTCATCGTTTTTGGGGAAACGAGGTCCAAGTTTCTTGTTTCAGAAAGGCCAAAGGAGTGAATCAAAGGCTCATGGGGCCCGGCGAATCGGATCGATGGTCACAAGAATTTGGTCACAAGAATTTTCTTCTTCTTGTTCTTCTGATGGTTAGGGGAGATGGATTGGTTGCACATGGATTGGTTAGGGGAGACACAGCTGTCAAATGGCCTCGGAGTCCTTTGGATTGGCCCGGGCCGGGTCGAAGTTTTGTCAGGCCTCGGAGCGGAGCGGAAAGATTTCGGCTGGGCGGAGTTCCGTGTCCCTTTAAATTGCCCCTACCAAAAAGGGGTACCTTGCAAAAAAAAAGCGCGAGAAGAACGGGGGCCTCAATGACTCAAGGAACGGCAACAGCCGGTTTTTCTTTCAAATGGCTGTGGCTCAAAATTAAACTGGATGGGGCAAACCGCGGGTTTTGGTGCATGTGTCCACTTAAGCTTCCATTGTGGAATTCCGGTTTTTCTTGAGCCACCGCCACAAATCGTTTATTTTTTTTTTGGGGGAGGGGATCCCTTTTTCATCTTCGGCACCTCCCTATGAAAAAGCAGAGCACATCCGGCCGTCCGAAGCTGCTTCGAAAAGAAGCCGGGAGCCTGGGGTTTTTCTCGCAGCGGAATGGAATGAACCGTTGGGTCTTGCAACCCGCCGGCCGAAAACGGGAGGTTTCTTTTTTGCTGAAGACGGGTGACAGAGCTCTCATCTTTGATCTCTCGGGATCGCAAGTTGTCGCGTAGCCAAGAGGATCTTTCGGGATCTTTGAGTTTTTTGTTGGCGGTTTGTTTGGGCTCCATGAACGGGCAGCCTATTTGCAGGGCACCCGGAGTGTGGAGGGATCCTTGCTGGGAAACCGTGGGACAGCATTTTTGTTCGGACTCTGTGCCACCAAGGACTTGTTTTCTTGCACCTGCAATGTTGCCCCCATTTCTGCAGGATTGGCCTTTTCAGAAAGGGTTTCTCGTTCGCGGTCACGCGCCATGAGCAGAAGGGCTTTCCCGAATCTCCACTGTTTTTCTTTTCTTGAGAAATCGCGGCAACTTCTCCAAGAAAAGTGGGGCAAACTGGTCGATGAGAAGAACAAAACCCGTCTTTCCTCGCGTGGAACCAACTCCTCCGCGTGGAAGCTGAGGCCCCGCTATGCAGCTCCGGCCCTAGCTCTCGCCGAGCTGAGACAGGGTGAAGCCGCCATTTGGGTGTGGCTCAACATTTTAAACATTGGAGAGCTAGGGCTGCGCAGGTTTTAGTCTCTGGTTCCATTTACCAAGGTGCCATTTTAGTACATGTTTGTGAGCCACAGCCATTGCGTGGGTGGGTGCGTGGGTGGGTGGGTGGGTGGGTGGGTGCGTGCGTGCGTGCGTGCGTGCGCGTGCGTGCGTGCGCGTGCGCGCGTGCGCGTGCGCGTGCGCGTGCGCGTGCGCGTGCGCGTGCGCGTGCGCGTGCGCGTGCGCGTGCGCGTGCGCGTGCGCGTGTGTGTGTGTGTGTGTTGTGTGTGTGTGTGTGTGTGTGTGTGGGGGGAACAATCATCCTAAACAAACCAGGGCTCACCCTGCAACGAAAAGAAGCACCCATCTGACAAAGCATATCTACAAAAAGAACCCCAACCATCCCATGCCGCCCCTGAGCCTCTGACAGGCTGGGACTTGCAATTCCACTTAAACGAAGACAGCATGTGCTCACCGGCAAGCCTTTGATCACCCGTGGTGTGACTCAATATCCCCTTGGTTTCGCTTCTGAGGTCAACATCCTCAGGAATAAAAGACAAAAGCACGAGCTTGGGGGTAGTTTGTGAAAAAAGAGTGGCTGTTGTTGGGTATTTGTGCCCTTTGCCGCCATTCAACAATCAAAACGGCATAGTGTAAGTGTTGAGGCTTGGTGCCCTCAAAGCGACCAGGTTCACCCACATCCGGGCACCTCACCCCAAAACAAAAAGTGGCTTCCTTGGCTTCCTTGAAGAGCCCCCAAAAAAGAAGACCACACCCATACGAGCGGTCAAAACTTCTTGGCCTACGGTCGTATCCTTAACAAGAAATATGATCATGGTTATTTTCCTTACCAGCTAGATGACCATCCCTGACCCCAAGTAGTGTTGACCCCGGATTTAAAACATCCCAGTTCATGTCTTTGGGAGGGTGCTTCTCGCTGGGTTTAGTTGCAATCAGACTACTTTTGGAGGGCCCGCCCCCCATATGAATAAACTGGGGTTGATGAACATCTGGGGTCAGCATTACATCGACGCTTTGGGTTATAGTCACCTTTGCGAAACCCCACGTCCATCCAGCCTAGGGTTTCATCCGGAGCGCACCCACGCACCCACGCACCCACGCACCCACACACACACACACACACGTTTTACCAGGTGTTGAGCGAAACTTGATTGCCTCCAAGGAGTTTTGGTCGGGTTCACTGGCTTTGACACTTTCTGACACCATGTCCCAACAGCGGCACGATGCCCGAGCAAACTTTAAGATGCTTTTAAGGTACTTCCCCTGGCTTTGGCGCCTTTCACATGCGATGCCACCCCAAGCGCCCCGACGCCCGACCTCGGCGCTCCGAGCCTCTCCGGGCTCAAGGCGGAGCGAGCTTTCCGGCTCCAAGGGGTCCGCTGCCCTTCTCGCCCCTTTTTTCCTTGGGTTGGGAGAGTCGGAAAGCCACCAAAATAGACGGAAGAAAATCGGGTAGAACAGGGCTTCTATCCTCTCTGGAGGGCCTAGTGTTTTATGTGGGAATCTCAAACCGGTTCATTCCATGTCACATTCCATTCCCCATCGCGGCAAGTAGAAATTATCATCGGAGCTCTCGCGGCAAGATTGGGATTTTCTCGTTTCCTGAGACCGATTTAGTTCAGGTTGCGGGACATGGCCTCCTACAAGGAGGGGGTGGGCACCAGGCGGTCCAAAGGGTGTGTTTGAAAAGAGGCGTCAAAGACCTTTCTACCAAGAGTGTGGAGGCAAAAGAGCCGAAACGTATGGCACTTGTGCATTTTACCGCTTTTAGGGGGCATCAGGCTTGTACCCAATAGGAGAACAAGACAAGGCGCTGGAAAAGGTGGAAGGTGCCTCGAACGAGGCGGAGCCAGTGGGCACGCCGCGCCGGGAGATGCAGGCGTTGGGCTAGAGAGACCCAGCCGACGTTGTGGTTTTCCCTTGGCTTTCCTTGGAAACAATAAATTCCCCATTGAAAGCCACCGGACATGATTTGGCTTCTCCGTTGTTCATTCCCTGACAAGCCTCTGTATTCAATCACCCGAAAGAGGAAGTTGTTCAAACATGTCAACCAAACTGCGACGTCTAAACCGCACAAGACTTGGCCCACAAAAACGGGGAACACGGAAAACCATATGTGGGTTTCTCAAAATTGGCACTGGGACCCTACCCCTCGCTTCCTTTGGTTTCCCTTTAAACCCCATCCAAAAAGGGCTCCGTTTTCTATGAGGCCTTGCCTATGTAGAGATCTTTGAAGGAGACCCCAGGGCCCGCAACAAATCTGACTAGAACCCTCGGATCCTACGCCGGGGAGCTGGGTCTAAAGACACAGTGGCGTGTATGTTTGTTTTTTTTGCAGGTACACCGTTTGGGCCCTTTTCGGGAAACCACGCGTTCTGAGTGGTCCCCCACAAAAAGACAGAACCAAAATTGATGTTTTTCGAGACCCTTTTCAAGGCTGGTCTGTACAAGGCAACCAAAAGGACACCTTTCAAAATGCTGTTTCAAGGCTCGGGGAAAAGAAAGGAAAGCCACAACTGCTGCTTCTTTCTACTTATTTTTCTTGGGTGAGTCCTTGTTTCATATCCACACCCATGTGGGTTGTTTTGCCCATTTGAGAGCTTTTTAGATCTTTGGCCCGATCGTTGTCCATGTGTTGATCCGTACCAACGAAAAGGCTTTACTTTATTTGCAAGACATGAGAAGGCTGCACAAAGACATTTGGACTCATTGTATTACCATCCTCAAAGTCACCCTCAAAGTGGTAGGTTAAAAGGAAACAACCCCAGTCATTGACTTTGAACAGCTTCCCGAGACGGGCAAAATCATGGCCCACAATCAAGACTGTCAGTTGCTATGAAGCACGCACCATTCACCGCCCAACCATATTCTTTACGAGAAACGATAGACGAGGGGGGCCGGAATCCACCGCCCATAGTAGGCAACCAAAGGAAACCATCCATGACAAAACCTAGGGGCAGTGTCCGGCTGGTTGCCATGGCTTGCCTGGGAGCGCTGAATGAAATCCCCCCCAACAAAAACCACCGAAGGCCAAGTTGCTGGTCAGCGCATCAATTCTCAGGTACCGCATGGGTGGTTTGGAGCCGGTGCTTTTCGGGAGAATGGCGCTTGCCGGTTAGACCTCCGAAGCACTGGGCTCCAAAATTCCACCGGGGAAGCTGAAATTTGGAAAGACGCGCATGCTGAACTTTGAAGGGGGATGTGGGCCACGAATCTCAGGATACCAGGGATTTCACCTCTCTTTTAGGATTTTTTTAACCATCTTTTTCTGAGGGGTGTTTTGAAGGATGTTGCTTGGGCTCAATAAGCTAATATCCTTTAAAGGTACATATCTCTTGTCGTTTTGGTGTTCGCCGTGTCCCTTTCGTGTTTTTCTTTGGCCCGATGAAGCTCCAGCCGCTCTCTTTCCTTCGAGTCAGTCGAGCGCTAGCAAAGGGTTCGCTTTTTTGGAAAGCGGTTCGCTTGTCACCTCTCAGAGAGTTCAAAGCTTTCGCAAGCTGTGAGCGCCTTGCGAATTTATGTGGGGGTGGACCAAAAGGTCCGGCAGGCATGGGGTGATCATTAATTAGGGAAACCACCAAACAAGATGACTCTCCCCACTCAATGGGATTAGTTATCTATGGCCATTTGGGGGCCGAACGGAATATTGATCAACCTCCCATGTCTACACCTTTTCACGCAAAAGCAACGTCAAGAATCAACCTGAGCAAGCTCCTGCGGTTTTGTCCTCGTTTTGCCTCTGACTTTTGGAACAGCCCGACTCTGAATCAAGCAAGTTCCTCGAATCACATATATATATATATAGACAACATGTTTCTTGTTCCTAAGGTGTTTCATCATATCTGGTTTTCATTTTCGACTTTCCCTTTCAAATCCACAGATGCGTTTCGGTGACCGCCTTTTCGGCCGACGGGCTTTTCCGTCTTTCCGAGGATGGCCTGGTGGCGGGCATCCGGGTGCGCCCGGTGCAGAACCCCTACGTGAGGCGAGCCGAGCTCTTTTTTAAAGAGTCCTTGTTTCATCCCCAAGCTGTGAACTAGTCAAATGACACATGGGGGTTGATCAATATTCCGACGGCTTTTCCCGGCCACCATTTTGGCCAATTCCCATGTGTTGGAAATATTCATTCATTTTCTTGGTTTCCCAACTGGTTGGGTCGTCCCATTACCGGACCTTTTGATCGACCCCATGTTTGACAGGGCAGATCCCCCTCGTTCGCCTACCGGTCGCTGATATTCCCTGCTCTTCTTCTGGTCAGTTGCCTCTGTAGCCAGTGACTGGACCGGCGGGGGCGGGCATCCATGGAAACACATGAGTAACAACAAAAGACCTGGTGGTTCTGGGTTGAGATATGCTGATGCACAGGTATTTGCAGCACGCTGATGTTGGCCATGTTGAATATCACATGTACCAGACGATCAAGATCTTTTGTGAAACACTGTGACTTTTCGGATCTGAGTTTTCGGGGAGCCATGTGGTTTTCACAATGTATTCTCAACACTTTCGGGACCTTTGGGAAAGTTAAAGACACCAACCAAGGAACCTATTGGTTGTTGGGACGAAAAGGAATTCAGGCCAAAGCATCAAACATCTGTGGCGGTGGACAAAAACTGAAGGCACTCCAAAATCAGCGGAGGCTCGGTCCATGTTCGCATCCACCTAGTTCTGACAAAGCAGAACACATGTCTAATGTTGAAACAAATCAGGACCTCAATAGAACAACATGCATTTCCTATTTTGGTTTGCACATGTGGGTCTTGCCAGACCTGAACATAAGTTCCCATGCCACAAGTGTGCGTCTTGAAGACCCACAGCCGCTGCCGTTTCGATTCCAAAGTGGCAATTTGGTGGGGACCACATTTTGTGAGGCAGCCAAATAGCTTCGAGACATGCGGAGTGCCATCTAGGAGAATTGGGTCCACATCCGCCTCGAGCGGCATTTGGCCGGTTCTAAGAGGGGCAGGTGGCCGGTAAGAGGGGCAGGTGGATCTACCCTCCCACCAACTAACATGGGATTGTGCACAAACCGGGCCCCCGCCCAAGAGGCAAGTCGTCTTTCTAGAGGTGTTCCATGGATGGGTTTAAACCACCTACATGCAGGCAATGGTTGGTTCACGGGTAGCAACCAGTTCCAACAAACACGAGCCATTTGAAGCATAAGACAAAGAGAGCCAGTCCTGTTCGTCTCTCCAAGTCAGCTGGGCGTCCCTGCGAGCCACGAGCCACCACGACTCATCCCCCCCCCCCCAGTGCTTCCTCTCTCCCCGTGGCACAGCTCGCTTTCGGAGGTTGAAGCCTGCGATGAAGTACCGCCTCAATACCTGGCGCCCGCCTCGGGGTCTCGCTTCCGCTTCGTTTTGTTTTCTTAAACGCGCCCGGGGGGACTTTTCGCGGGAAAATTGTTTTTTTGTTTTCTTGGCGTTTGGTTCCTTCTCGGATTCCTCAGGTCGACCGCGGTTTTTGTTTCGGCCCCCTCCTGCCTTTCCTGTGGATGAGGTCCACCAGTTGGAACTGATTGCTGGAAGACCTCTCCTTTGGTGCATGTTGCCAACGGCTGTTGGGACTTTAGCTTTTTGCCCACGATTTTTTTGGTTTTCCGAACCAAACCGCTAAAAGTTAAAGACTTTTAGCAGGGCTTCGCAGAGTTCGCAAGACCGAGTTCTCATTCCTTCAGAGCCAGCCCTCCGCTGGATTCCATCCCGGCCAGTTGGCGCGCCAGCGGACAGGACTTCCGCGCGCGGTTTTGGGGCGGTCTGCCACATGGAATTCTCCGGGAGATCTCGGGGCGCGCTGGCAAGCGCGCGCCATGCAAGCTGGAGCCGCTCACATGTTGTTCAGGGAAATTCCGAAGGTTTGACTTTGCCCCATGTTGGGAACGCATTTTTGACCCACAGCCAGATTGAATTGACAGAAGATGCAGCTTGGCAGACAGGCAGTCGCGGAACTGGAAGAACTGGTCGCCCGGGCGCCCGGACGGAAGGGGGGGGGTTGGGGTTACGCAAAACCCGGGTGGTGTCTGTTGGAACCCCCCTCCCCCCCTCCCCGACAAGGTCCCAAACTGTAGATTGGGGGATTCCAAGCCAAACCGATGTTCTTTGCCATCCCTTGCGCGTTTGGTTTGGGGTATGACAGACCCGTGAGGTTCCAGAAGAGCACAGAGTGCATCTCTTGGAGCGTGGGAATCTGTTGCGGAGCACCCTTCTGGCCGTGCCAGCTTTTTCTTGCAGAAGCCCATTTTTTGCTTCAACAGGAAGCCAAAGGGAAATCCGCCAAAGGTCATTTTCGACAAATTGAGACCCCAAAGCTCAAAACTCGCGGGTCGATGGGTTGGCCCCAGGATCGATTTTCCAATTTATGGCTGCAACAAGTTCGTGGTTGCACTTGGGCTATGTTCTTCCGCCACACACACATCACCTCTTGGGGTCTTTGGCCCAACACGGAGGCCAACAGGCACAGCTCAAAGGCAACTCTTACGACCCAAACGGGATAGAAGAGATCGCTGGATCAACACGCCGTACGGATACCAGGTCAGAATGTGTCAGTGCTTCCCGGCAAACCAGTGTGGTAGATAAAGAGAAGTCATCCATGAGACCAGGTAAACGTGCCTGACTAAACTGACCCAACAGACCTCTTTGGAATATATTCTTGGAATATTGTCTTGAAATATCCTTTGATACTTTAATATGCTGCTGTTTTTTTCTCCCTTGGTTCACTATCGTGTTGCACTGGGACCATTGTTTGATGTTCTTTCGTTGAAACCCTGTCAGACAAAATCGGCAAGTCCAAGGCTCCTGTCATGCAATGTGAGGGCGTTTGGTTCGGGTAGCAACACTCGGTTTGAGTTGGACCGCCAAATGGTTGGACCACCAAAAAGGAATCCCCCCAAAGAACCCTTGTTTTGGAGAACTCCTTTTGAGAACCTCTCAAAGAACTCTTGAAATCTCTTCAGTCGGATTTGGAGAAAAATATGAACGATGCCTTCGGCAGATCTGGTGTTTCTCTTTTGGGAGGGGGGTGGGGAGTGCGGGAAGAGCCCCCACATGGGTGTGGGATGCAGAAATCTGACCCCCTCAGATCGAACTCGAACCCCACGAATTTGGCTGATGCATCTTGGGTGTGTCCTTTGAGGCCCGGGTTTCCTTTGGCGAAACCGGGAAACTGTTCAGGACACATTTGGGTGGATTTGTTGGAGGTCCATTCAGACACGCCCATCCGCACCCCAATCCCAGATGACCGGAACTCAGCCAGGCCCAACTTCTGCAACGTCCGCGGGAGTCGGCGCAGGCGGGGTTAGCCTGGCGGGGTCCAGCGAGTTTTCCCCGTGATATGGCCCGGGGGGGGTGCGTGTGTGCGTTTCAGGCGACCCTGCTTTTTTTGGTATTGTTAACGGGAAGCGAAGAAAGAGGAGAACCACAGGTTTCGGGGGGGGGAGTCCACTTATTTCAACACGTGTTGATTCACATAGAAGGTTCCACGCATGTAGAAAAGGCATTAACATCCCATATTTGTGCTCGGCAGACCCATCTGAATATTGTGCTTATCAGGTATACGGCAACCGCTGATTGTTCATTTGGCATACAACCGAAGCGCGATTCCTTGGATTGCTTGTATAGCTAAATGGGCGCGTTTCCCAAAATTTTCAGGCATGGACCAGGACCCAAAATAAATGGTCTACCGGTTTCGAGCAAACGACCCCCCTCAAATTGGGTCGAACTGAAGGAAGGCGCACATTGGGTTTGGGGTGTTCACGAGCTCTTTTTTCACCATGCAATGAGATCAGCCACAAGCGCTTACCATGTCAAAGGTGGTTTGGCTGTGCCGAGCCCCGAGCCCTCGAGCCCTCGAGCCCTTGCACCGAAGTTGGCCAAACTTGTTTTGATTGTTGCTTCCAACATGGAGGGACCCCCCAAAAAGTTGTGTCTGTAGTTTGCTTTGGTTCCTCAGCAAACAAGGAATTGGACGAGGGGCTCGTCGCTGTCAATATGTTATCCATATGTTGTATCAGGGTTGTGGGATCACTTGGGGTTATCCACCCACTTCTACTACTGTGATACAAATGGTGATACAAATGGTGATACAAATGGTGCACCCCCTCTTTCGGGTGAGTCTTTGGGGGTTTGGCCCTTTTTGTAGCACAGATTCCTGAAATGTCCATTCCAACCACAGCCCTGTTTTACAGCCATCGAGGCGATTCCCGGAAAGCCATTCCAACCACCGCTTGTTCCATCGGAAGCCCAACCCATCGAGAGATTTCCAGGTTCCGCATCCCCACGGACATCGGGCCCTACAAGGACGAGCTCGGCGAGTGGCACCCGCCGCGGCTCTCGGGGCGCTACAAGGCCAGCGCGAGCCCCGCGCGCGGGTTTCCGCGGACGGACGGGTCGGTCCCGTGGGATGGGCCTGCCGTTTCTTTTGGGGCTCGCGAAGAGTTTGATGGCAACCCCCTTCAGGGCTGGAAGGGAAACCAAAGGACCGTGCCCACTTTTAGGGGTCCCACCAATGAGTGTTTCTGTTTGGGAACTCCGACATCTTGTTGGGTGTTTCCCTCTCTGCCAAAAATACACACGAACAAGCAGGCACTAAAGCATGGTTTCATTCCAAACTGCGACTGGTGTTTCCACCTCCCCCCGCGCCCCAAAAGGATGGTTTGCCAACTTTTCCCCAAACCAGGGGCTGGGGGGTTGATCTTTTGCGACGTGTGTTGGGGTATTTGGTTTTCAGGGTCTGAACAGCCTCGTGTCCATTGCACCGGAAAGGTTCCTTCTTAGAAACCTGACTTTGCTCAAAGCCTGGCGCCGAACCGTTTTCGCATCGGACACCCTTGGCCGTCGAATCGCCTTCACACCGCTCAGTTTTTGGCCAACTTTTGAAAGGGATTTTAACCCGCTGGAACGAACCCGAGTCCGAGCGTGGGTTGCAACCCAGAGGGGCACCTTCGCTTGGCGAAAAAAACAACCAGGACTTTGTGGGCGCAAAAAGATGACACAATTCCCATCCCAAGGGGAGAAACAGTAGTCGAGGGCCTTGCCTAGCAATAAATTGCTTTCATACATACACCCCCCCTACATTTTTTTTCATCTTCCATCTTCTACCCTTGTTCGTTTTCATCATTTTTCTACATTCCTTTCTGTCCATCTCATCCGTTTTTTTTATCATCATTTTTCCAAAATTTTCGCCATCATTTTCTCCTTCCTCCTCGCCTCATTCATTTCACCAACTACCCTTCAAAATGTCATTTCCTCAATCTCCTCACCTCATTCATTTCAAAAAAATAAATTTTGCAACGGATATTGCAAAAAATATTTGTCATCAAAAAAATATTCGAACTGTCTAAAAACGATTTGTCCATTTCTCGGACAAAAAATAGAACAGCAACAACATCACTCCCCTCCTTCGTTTCATCACTTTTATCATATATTTTTTTAGGCTTGGTGTCCCTTGTAGGATTTTATCTTCAATATATAAAACGCTATACTTACATTATAATTATAACATATAAGGGTATAAATGTTATTATTATAGTATGGTTTTAATCTATCTTATATTCAAGTAATAATATTTATCAAGCTCATGCTCGTAAAATAATTGCACAGCATTAATATTTATGTAATATCGATTCCTGATTTTTTGGTATTTAAATATATTATTCAAGAACTGATAGTTGAATACTGATGATGTTGAACGCTTAAACCGAAAACGATAGGTAGACATAATTGGATATACTTCTTTTCGCGGAACTAATTTAGTTTCTATATTATTTATTGCCTGAATAAACTTATTGTATATGTTGGTTTTTTCTTCTTCCCTTTTTTTCTCTTCTTCTACCTTTTTAGTGTTACATTCCTTGCATAATATTAAACTTGTATCACTTGTCGGAAAATCATCATGAACGTGTGTTTCTTCCACACATCCACACGTCTTAGTTTCTCTTGATGTTAAAGTCCATCCCATATTTACTATAATATATATAGTTTGTATTTCTTTAAATACTTTTTTCCAAGAAGTAAAATTAAATATTGAAATATAATTATAACATATAAGGGTATAAATGTTATACTCATAGTATGATTAAGAATTATGGGTTACATTTATAGTCAGGAAACATGTCTTCAAACATGTAATCTACATATTTATCAATATCACCAATGTCTATATATTTGATATTGTCTTTTCCTATTATTGAATAAATATATTCCCAGAAAAACAAATTAACTAGTAGCCATACTTGATATTTAGTGTTGTGGTAAGACCATACATGATATTTAGTTATTCTAAATTCATTCAAGACCTCGTTTATTTTATCTTTACTTAATAAATGCCAATCAATCGCTTCAAACATGTCTCGAAATTTTTTAACACATGCTTTATATGGTTTAACTGCGTTTGCCCCTCCAAACCTCTTAATTAAATCTTTATTATTGAAGAACTCATCAATTTCTTTTTCAATTGACTTTCTAGCAATTTTTTGGTAAAAACATACAGGAAATCGTTCTTGATATCTCATAAAGAATTTCAATTGTAATTGAAACTTTGTATATCCCTTATCCTTATGTTCTTCAACAAACAACTTTTCAAGGTCTCTTGTTATACAGCATTGATTACAATATACATCATATTCACTTATTTTACTACACAGATTAGCAGGTAATAACTTATACAATGTTATATTAACATCATTCCTTTTAGTTGTACAACATTCGCACTTTGAATAATTAAATAACATTTCCACTGTAATATATATAGTGTTTATTTCTTTAAATACTTTTTTACAAAAAATAAAATTACATATTGAAATATAATTATAACATATAATATTTTACATGTTATTATTATATTATGATTATAATTTAAGTTCAGGATAATAATTTAATTGATATATCTTACCTCTTTCATACATCATTTTAAAAATAAGATTAATATCTCTCACTGTATTTTTAACATTAAACTGTTCACTTTCAATATATGATTTTATTACTTTTTTTACATCAACGCCGGGTTTACTATAATAAATCAACATCCATAATATGTCATTAATCATTTCATACTTTTTCTTACTGATTTTAAGAAACTGTTTAGCATAACCGTAAGGCGGTCTTTCATACACAGTTAAAAATATCAATATTTCATCTTCAACATTTCTTTCATCTATATTTTTAAACGCCAAACAATTTTCTATTATATTTTGATATCGTCTCCATCTTCTACAAGTTCTACATATATTTTCTTCGTCCAAAGAATAATCAATAATATTATTAACTATTCCATTAGGTAAATTCAATTTATATAATTCCATATTTTCTTTTTTAAAGTGGCAACAATCGTAGCATTTCTTATTGATATAATTATTGATTTCGGTTTCCACCATTTCTATTATAATATATATAGTTTCTATTTCTTTAAATACTTTTTTACAAGAAATACAATTAAATATTGAAATATAATTATAACATATAACATTTTACATGTTATTATTATAGTATGATTATAATTTAAGTTCAGGATAATAAGTTAATTGATGATTATTAAATTGTGTATATATCTTACGTCTGTCATGCATCAGTTCAAAAATAATATTAATATCTCTCACGGTATTTTTCAGATTAAACTGTTTGCTTTCAATTTCTGATTTAATGTCTTCTTTTACATCACACCCTTCTCTTCTACGATGTAACAATATCCATAAAATGTGGTTAATCAGTTCATACTTTTTCTTACTGATTTTGAGAAATATTCTAACATAACTATAAGGTGGTCTTTCATACACAGTTAAAAATATTATAATGTCGTCTTCAACATTTCTATTATGTCTTCTTTTCAGATTTAAATGACATCTGATTAATTCTTGATTATCTCTCCAGGTTTTACAATTTTCGCATATATCTTCTTCATCCATTGAATAATCAATAACATTATTAACTATTCCATTAGGTAAATTCAATTTATATAATTCCATATTTTCTTTTTTAAAGTGGCAACAATCGTAGCATTTCTTATTGATATAATCATTGATTTCGGTTTCCACCATTTCTATTATAATATATAGTTTTTATTTCTTTAAATACTTTTTTCCAAGAAATACATTTATACCTTTAATAACTCATGTCTCAAAAATGCCCTGTCATAATTTTCAATATAATAATATTCCTGTCCTAACTTCTTTTCAATCTTTGCTATTTTGTAGGTTTGTTTAGTCCATACTCCTACTCTCTCCTTTTCATTTGGTCTCCTTTTCCTGAATATCTTAACTTCATTTCCTACATTTAAATCTGGATAAACTCTATTTCTTTTGGCTTTCATACCTAAATTTAAACTCACTTCTAATTGGTGTTTAGGCTTTCTTGCTTCTGACGGTGTTAAGCCGTGCGAAGTGTGCTTTATTCCATTGTTATAAGTTAATATAGTCTCGTGTATGTAGTCTGTCCATTGAATAGCCTTTCCTTTCTTTTCATCGTTTTCAACCCTCTTATACAAGCTATCTTTAAACGTCCTTATCGCCCTCTCCGCAAATGCTGGGTGTCCTCTGGTTCTGTGCAACTCTATTTTTTCACCCTTCAAGAAATCTATAACACTTTGATTGTTATAAGCTCCTTCATCGTCAATATAAATTAGTTTGGGCTTTCCACCCATTTTTTTAATACATTCCATCAGTCCTGCTAAAATGTCCGCTGGCTGTTTTGACATAAGCGGGACAACAACCATATACTTAGAAAATATGTCAATACACATCATGCCAACTTTCATTTTTTGTTTAGGGATATCATTAATGAAAAATAAATCAATTTGAAACTCATAATATGCGTTAGGAGCTACAAATGAATTCTGTCCTCTTGGCTTGGCTTTCTGTTCTACATTCTTCCTAAAAAACTCATTAATATCGTTTATAGTTATTGTGTTATCCTTTTTTCTTGCTTCTTGTAAAGTGCGGTTCTTTGACCCGAAGCCTCCCTTATCATAATAAACATTATTAATAATATCTTGCTTAGATGCCATATAAAATAAGATAGATATTATTTTTCCCGGCGATTACAGTTTAAACAGTAAGATATACAGTTTTCCTTATGATGGGCATACTCGTTGTTTATTCTTTGGGCTGTCATATTGCTATTTATTACTCCATTATTTATTTCTATGTCAAAATCTGAACTGCATTTATTACATCTGGTATTAAGCCTGTCAAATAACCATTTGACATCAATATATTGTTTGTTGTCTATTTCTCTCTCTGCTTTCATGTCTTGTAATTTATACTGTTTAATTTTATGTTCTAAATATCTGGTTACTTGTGCTTCATTTAAATCAGTATCGTCTATGTCTGCTTTGAAAAACTTGACTTTATTGA